CAGAAGCCCGGCGGCGGCGGCGGCGGCGCTGCGGCGCAGGCCACGCCGCCCAGCGCGCCCCAGGGCGAGACGAGCTGCAGGGGAGCCTCGGGCGCTGGACGAGGGCGGGGGGCCCAGGCTTACGTCGGGCGTGTCCCCCTACACAGGGGGATTTTCGACGAAAAATGCAAAAGACTCAAAACAGACTCCAGAATGGTAAAAAAATGCAGAAAAAATAGTCCCCCTGTAGAGGTGCAGGCCCGACGTAAGCCTGGGCGAGCGTTCTCTCAGTCGGCGCTTCGGCACTGGGCGGACGAAGGGGGGGGGCTGCCCCGCTGTTCCTCGGAGCAGGGGCCGACCGCCCCGGCATTCCGAGGGTCCTACCACGACATGTTCTCAGAACCCCTAAAACGTTCTAAGAACAGAAGCAGTGTTCTTAGAACATCACCCCGCTGTGCCAAATCAAGACGGTCCCAACCAGAAATGTTCTGAGAACAGGTCGTGGGAACCACAAAAGGTTCTTGGAGCATTGACTGGTAGGAGGAGGAGGAGGAGGAGGAGGAGGAGGAGGAGGAGGAGGAGGAGGAGGAGCAGGAGGAGGAGGAGGGAGGAGGGGGGGAGAAGGAGGAGGAGGAGGAGGAGGAGGAGGAGGAGGAGGAGGAGCCAGGACGCTTCGCCGCTGCTTGAGCTCCTGCCGCTGGGCGCCCGCGCCTGGCCAGTCCTGCAGCCGGGCGTCCTTGGCTATCCGGGCTGTGGCGCGCTACGCGCGCTTGAGGCACAACATGCACGCACGTGTCCCCCTACAGGGGGGATTTTCGACGAAAAATACAACATACTCACAACATACTCCAGAATGGTTTTAAAAATTCGAAAAACAGTCCCCTGACTTTTTAATGACTATTTTTGAATGCAGCCGGGCGTTCTTGGCTATCCCAACTGTGGAGCGCTACGCGCGCTTGAGACACAACATGCACGTACGTGTGCCGGCTGGATCGGCCGAAGCACGGCTGCCGGGGCGTGGCAGCCTCTTACCCGCGTGGGCGTGGCAGACACCAGCGGGCCTTCATCCTCATGCTCCTGCTCATGCCACTTGTCCTGCTCCTGTCGTGGCTCTGGACCTCTGCTTAGTGTGACTGTGTGGGACAGTGCGTGCTATGCCACCTGCTCGAAACAGGCGCCAGAAAAGCAGCCAAGATCCACTCCAAGGGTGCGGGGGAGGGGCGGGGGGGCGCAGGCCCGCGCCGATCGGCAAAACGACGAAGAAGAAAACGACGACTAGCTGATTTAAACAACTGGGGGGGCGCTGTTCCTCGTTTTTGTTCCACCTTTCCGCTTCGGCCCATCAAAACGGCAAAACAACTGCAGCCCAAAACAGAAGCAACAAGAAAAACTCAAAGCGGAACCGAACCGGAAAGGGCGCGAACGAGGATCCCCAAACGGAGAAAAATGGTGCTTTGAGCGATCCCCACCGACACCTTCGGCGCTTGTTCCCGACGGTGTGCGCACCGACTTGAACGATACGCAGAGGCGACGATAGGGGCGAACAGCCCAGGGGGAAGCAATGCATGTATCCAGAGGCGCCGATGACCTATGTCTTCGGCGAGGCTCCCCGGCGAATGCGTGTAATGCCCGCCCCTGGGCTATTCGCCCTTATCGTCGCCGCCGGGGTACGCGCAGGGCCCGGTGGTACCGGCCAGCGCGGGGGCCCAGCCAGGTCGCAAGTTGCCGTTGCCCTAAAATCGAACAACCCCAGGCTCTCGTAGGACGAATGCCCCTGACGTAAGAAGTCGAAACAAGCCCTGGGGCGAAAAAACAAACCCCCAAACGCGTGGTGTTAGCGAGACCCCAGAACTGGTGCGGAGAGAGTCTGCATCATGTTGAAAAAGAGAAGTAGGAATAGGAGTAGGAGGAGGCTGTATTATGTTTGCTTTGTTTCTGCCCCAGTGTAATGAATGACACTATGTTATGTTTTGTTCTGTTCTGGACGGGCCCGCGTGACGTCGTGACGCCTGTTACGGTAGACAAGTCGTCTAATCGATCGTTGCTAAGCATGTTGGTCCCTGTGGACAGCCTTACCTCGGCGCGCACGCCGCGTTTGATTACAGGATAAAGCACGCTGCAGCATGTCATATAGTCCCTCTTCACTTATGCTTTCCTTTCTGCCAAAATATGCTCTGCTATACCCACCCCTGTCACATCATGATGTAATAGGTTATGTGGTTCTTTGCAGTGTGGCACGATGGTATGACATGATATGCAGTGCCAAGTTCTGTTCGATCCTGGTTAAATTCAGTGATGCTGCTTTGGTTACGGAATAAGATAGTGTTATGCCATTGTATCATCCCGCTCTGTTATGGCATACCACATCAATGAAATAATAGCCAACCGTGTTATATCAAACTCGCTGCCCTAGTGTTACCAACATTAACATACTCAAAATATATTGTGATTACTATGTTGTGTGATGGTCCGTGAATGATGCATGCTGTGGTACGTCATTGTGCTCCTCTGTCATCTGATAAACATCCATCATATGCCGTCGTGGCAGCAGTCGTGGAACACATCTGGTATGCTATGCTATGGTATGTAATGCTGTACTCTACTATGCAAATGTATTTCATGGTACGCGTTGTGATGTTACAGTATGTTCGATACTGTTTCATGGCATGCTCTGTTCAGCTATAGCATCTTGTTGTATGCTCTGGTCTGCGATGGTATGCCCTGATCTGGCATGCCATACCATGGCGGCATGTCATGCTCTGTGAGTATGTGCTGTGCGATGCTATGTGATCTCATGCTATGCTATGGTTTGCCCTGCGCTGGTATGGTCTGCTGTGCCGCGTTAAAGTATGGTGTGTGGTGTTATGCTCTAGCCTGTGCGCTCCGCTCTGTCATTGCAAAGCCTGTTGTGATGTCGTATGGTATGCTCCGATCCGCCATGTAATAGTATGGCATGCTGTATTATGTGATGGTGTTATGCTGCGCTCTGCCATGCCATTTTACACTATGTGATGACGCGCTCTGACATGGTATTATGTGTGACGTGTAGGAAGGTCTAGTATGTGCTGCTGTGTGTGATGTTATATGTTCTGTGCCAATTATGTTATTATGTGTGGTGCTCTGCTCCGTTTTGTGAGGTTCTATAGTGCTCGTCGATGGGGCCAGGCGAGAGTCTTTAGGAATTTTTGGTGGACCTAGGGATCTGGCGGCCGCGGTGTGCAGAGTCGGCGGGTCGGCGCGAGGCGAGTCTCGGGGGATTCTCGGTGAACCTGGGGATCTGGCGGCCGCGGTCTGCAGGGTGGGCGGGCAGGGTAGCGTGTTATCAAAATCTAACGGCCCTCTCCTGTCAGGTTGGGAACAACTGAACCCAACATGTGAAAAAAACGTCGATCTCGAAATCGGGACGACAACAGCGTTTTAAACATCATCGAAGGGGGGATGCAGGATCAAGGATCGAGAATCGAAGGCCAAGCCTGGAGGTTTTCGGGCACCCAGGAGGACGAGGAGGTTCGTGGACCGAGGATCAGGGTATCAGGAGATGCTGGTGGCGATGGGCCGAAGACGGAGGAGAAGATTCGAGGAGTGCGGTTCGAGGGTCGTGGCTCGAGGACCCAGGAGGAGGAGGAGGCGGGGGAGAAGGAGGAGGAGGAGGAGGAGGAGGAGGAGGAGGAGGAGGAGGGGGAGGAGGAGAGAGGGTGGAGGAGGAGGAGGTGGAGGAGGAGGGGGGGAGGAGGGGGAGGAGGAGGGAAGAGGAGGAGGAGGGAGGTAGGAGGAGGAGGAGGAGGTGGAGGAGGAGGGGAGGAGGAGGAGGAGGAAGGAGGAGGAGGAGAGGAGGAGGCAGGAGGAGGAGGAGGAGGAGGGGGAGGAGGAGGAGCAGGAGGAGGAGGAGGAGGAGGAGGAAGAGGTCTCCGCGAGGTCGGAGGTCTGGGATCCACGTGGGCGGAGCTGACGAACGGACCACACACACACCCATACAGAGAGCGGTGGGCCCCGCGCCTCGCGATTGAGGCTGCGCTGTGGCTGTGGGTGCGCGCAGTCGGACGCCGAGGGGACACCAATCCGACAGTACGCACTCGCAGCCCTTCCAGAAATGCACTCCGACAAAACCTGGAGTCTGTATGAAGTTAGTACGGGTGGTAACTGCCAGCTCGTGAGCAGCGCCGGCGGCCTGGACTGATCCGGACCGAATGCCTGGAGGCCTCTGGAGATGGAGCCCCCCCCCAAAAGGGCAAACCACTTCCACACACACACACATGCACACTCTCTCTCTCTCATCTACACGTCGTTCATTTCTAATCGTGCTCATTTCTAATTGTGCTCGTTTCTAATCGTTCCTGGCCCCCTAGTGGCCGGGAAGAGACCCAGGACAGAACAATTAGAAATGAAATGATCTTGCCCCCCCACAAATCAAAGAACTTCCGAAGAATATGAGCAATGTGTATATATTTGAATGGTCTTGGCTGGAAATCGATCCTCGAACCCTCGAGCTCACCCAGAGGCCTCGGGAGCCTCTGGAGGCACAGAGGTGCAACAAAAGGGCAGTAACGCCTGACCAAGTCGACTCCTCGAGCCTCGAACCCTCGGCCCTGCTGAAAGAAGAACTCCATGTCGCCTAAACTGGGCAGGAGCAGATGGAGTCCGAAGATCTCGCCGCATCGCCGATGCACAGCTGATGCGGCACGACCTGGAGTCCGACCTTCTGAATCCTGGCATCACCGATGCAGTGCGATCCTCGGATCTCATCTCCTCTGATCCAATGTGGGCGGCCACCAGCGCCGAAGAGGGCGGCCAGGACAACCCCCTCTTCGACGCCTGTTTTTGTTGCGCCTGTTCTTGCCGTGTCGTAACTCGGCTCTCCGGCGGCCGTTCGGGACGATCTGGGCACGCAGGGAAAGCCCTCGACGAGACGCAGCTGCTGGAGAGCACCCCGAGGCGAGAACACCTCCAGGAGAAAGCAAAACCTCCCCCCCCCCGCGACAGAGCCTTCGACCCCACGCTTCCCCCCCCGCCCCCCCTCCTCTTGGACGCCCCCGAGGTGAAGGGTTGCAACGCTGGCGGCCTGGATCGCGTATGACTCGAGGCCCTCCATGAGCGCCGTGGCCCGCGCGCGCCGCCGCTCCTGGCGCGCGGGCGAGCGGTTCCCAGGGCCCCCCTCGGGTCCGCCGACGAGGGGCGGCGGGGAGAGCCGGGAGCAGCGCACCTCACGGTCCAGGGCATGTGCGCGGAGGCTGGTGGCTGCTCCTGCAATGTCCAACCACGGCCAACCCGTCTCTGGAAGGACTCGCGGTGAGGATGCAGGGGCCTCGGGAGGCCGCGTCGACACTCTGCGGCCGGGGCGCGGCCAGCGGAGGCGGCCAAGGAGAGGCCGAAGATGCCAGGGTGACCTTGGACAAGTGCAGATCCCTGCTGCGCGGGTTGACTGTTCCTGGAGACCTTCCGCCTCTGGAGAGAGAGAGAGAGAGAGAAGCGCCGTGCACGTCAGAGGTGCGTTGGCAAATAAGTGAAACAGCAACTTCCGCTGCCGGAGGCGCGGCAGCGAAACAAGAAGCGGCGAAGGGGGGGGGAGGACGACGAGGGGGAGGAGGACGAGCTCTGGAGGGGGCGTGGAATCTGAACAGCCCTCCACACCCCACTCCTCCGCCGCCCTGCTGGCCAGCATGGGGGCCCGCAGCTGGGGCCCCGCAGCTCGGGCGCGGCGCGCATGTTCTCGCTCGCCTGTGACTCGTCAGCGGCAGGGTCACGCGCCAGCGGGCGAGATGTCATTCAAGGGGCCCAAGGACACACAAATAAATACACACAAATAAGATGTTTCCCAATATTTTTCCATATTTTCTGTTTTTTTGTCTTCCCGCCCAATTCCCATATTTCCCCATATTTTCCTGGGAGTCGACGATTAATTGTGTCTGTGTTTTTTCTCCCCTTCTGAGTCATTGTCGCCCCAACGGCGCGCAGATGCCGTCTGGCCGCGCGGCTCCTGCGCAGGCGGGGCGCACCTCTTGCCGCTCGTCAGTTCGTCGGCAGCGTGGGCGCGCGCGAGCGGGTGAGATGGCGTGTTCGCCCAAGCTGATGGGCCCATCCTCCACCGCCACTACCATGGGTAGTGGAGGAGGAGGAGGAGGAGGAGGAGGGGGAGGAGGAGGGTCTCCTCATCCTCCCTTCTCCCCCGTCCCGCATGTGGTAGCGGTGGTGGAGAATCTGCCCATCGCCAGCGGCGCGCAGGTTTCGCCTGGAGGTGCTGCTTCCGCGAGGGCGCGCCTAAGATTTTTTGGTCTCCAGCTCGTCGGCAGCGTGGTCGCGCGCCAGCAGGCCACAGGTCCCTCTCGCCCGAGCGGCGCGCAGAGCTCGAGCCGAGAGTGGCACCGCCGCCCGTGTGCGGCTTCTTATGCCCGCGCTCGCCCAGTCCTGGTGGGCTTGTTCTCCACCGCCACCACCAGAAGCAGGAGGGGGAGGGGGTCCTCCTCCTCCTCCTCCTCCTCCTCCTCCTCCTCCTCACACTCCGCCCCCTTCCCCCCTCCAGATGATGGTGGTGGCGGTGGAAAACAAGCCTACCAAGTCCAACCGGCCACCTGCGCGCGCAAATGCACGGGGCTCAGTGCTCTCAACGAGGCGCCGCGCTATGACTGCCCGACCTTTCCGCTCTCGCCGGTGCGCGTGCCGTGCCCGTCCCTCGCGCCAGGTCGTCGGAAGCGGGGCCGCGCGCGCGCGCATCGGGGGTCTCCTGGCCCGGGTCCATCCAGACCCGGTCAGTCAGGCCTTGCAGACTCCTGCAGGATCCTGCACCCAAGCCCGGGTCGGTGCGAAGGATGCAGCAAGATCCTGCAGGATCCTGCACCCAAGCCCGGGTCGGTGCGACCCTGGCCCTGCAGGGTCCTGCAAGATCGGGTACTCTGGCTGACCTCAGCTTGCATTGACCCCCGTCGCAAGGCTCCCGAGCGCAAAAGCGACTTCCCTCTCGCCGGGCGGGAGCACGCGCCAGTCTTACTTAGGTCGGGCATGTCCCCCTACAGGGGGATTTTGGACGAACAATATTTTTTTTATAAAAAAAACTCAAGAATCTCCAAAGTGGTCGAAAAATACTGAAAAATAGTCCTCATACTATTTTTTGACTATCTTGTGATATTCCTCCTGTAGAGGGACGGGCCCGACGAAACGCCAGTCTCCACGTCCAGGTGTGCCCGGCTCGGTTCTCGTGCTTCTGCCGGGAGGGTTGGGAGATGGTGGCAGCGAGCGGGACCCGCTCGCTCTTCCTGCCTCGCCTCCTCCCTCCTCCCTCCCTCCTCTCCTGCCTCCCTCCCTCCTTCCTCCCTCCCTCCTTCCTCCCTCCTTCCTCCCTCCCTTTCCTCCTCCCTCCCTCCCTCCTCCCTCCTCCTCCCTCTTCCTCTCCCCCTCCTCCCTCCCCTCTCTCCCTCTTCCTCCTCCCCCCCTCCCTCCCTCCCTCCCTCCCTCCCTCTTCTCCCTCCCTGTCTCTCCTCCATCCCCCCTCTCCGACTGCATGAAGAGTCCACGCTTCCGTGCTGGCATTCTGGGACAGCTTGCTCTGGTGCCCTCTTCTGGGCAGACTCCGGGGCACACCTGTACAGACTCGGCACCGCGGGGTGGCAAGTAGACGACTTTTGCGCACGCCGATGGTCCTCCTCCTCCTCCTCCTCCTCCTCCTCCTCCTCCTCCTCCTCCTCCTCCTCCTCCTCCTCCTCCTCCTCCCCCTCCCCTCTCCCTCCTCCTCCTCCTCCTCCCCCTCCCCCTCCTCCCCTCCTCCCCCTCCCTCCCCCTCCTCCCCCTCCTCCTCCCTCCCCCTCCTCCTCCTCCCCCCCCTCCTCCTCCTCCTCCTCCTCCTCCTCCTCCCCCCCCTCCTCCTCCTCCTCCTCCTCCCCCTCCTCCTCCTGGTGATGTCGCGGGTGCCGGCCGACCGACCCCCTCCTCCCCGGGCCCCGGCGTCCGCCCCCTCCCAGCACACGTTTCCTGGTCCTCCGTGCTCCGTGGAGGGGCCCTGGGACACACAAAGAAATACACACAAATACCAGGATCCCCCTTATATTTTCCAACATTTTCTGGGTTTTTGTCTTCCCCCCCCACTTCCCATATTTTCCTACATTTTCTACGTTTTTGTCTTCCCCCCACTTCCCCTATTTTCCCATATGTTCCCGGGAGTCGACGATTCACTGTGTCTGTGTGTGTGTCTTTTCCCCTCCTGACTCTGGGAAGCGTAAGACTCGGGTACGGGGCGTCCATTACGGGGGAGGCTCCACCTGCTCGAAGCAGGCGCCGAAGAACAGCCAAGATCCACTCTATGGGGGGGGGAGGGGGGGGGGGAGCGAGGGCCCGCGCCGATCGGCAAAACAATGAATGACAAAAACGATCGCAAGCTGCTTCTTATTGCTTCGCCTTATGAATGCCTCCTCCCCGTCGCACCCCGAGGCCAATCGGAAGGGCGGCCCAGGCATTTCGCTTGAGACTTCCTCACCATTTATTTATGACCCTGAAGCTGAGCATCAATTTGCAGCAACTTGACAAGTGGAGGGCGGGTCGCTTTCAGAATGTGGCTCTCGCCATAGCGACGCGCGCATTCGGTCTCAAAAAGTCAAGAGTTGTACGGAATGAGGACAGGTGGTGTTCAAAAGGTGGCTCTCGCATCAGCGCAGCGCACATGGTAAAACATCGCAAGAGCTCCACGAATGGAGCGCGGATCGTGTTCAAAATGTGGCTCATGCCTTAGCGCAGCGCACATTCGTCACACAAACTTGCAGCAACTTCACGGACTGAGGGCGGTTATTTTCCCAAATATGGCTCGCGCCTCAGCGCCGCGCACAATCGACTTGAACATCTGCAAAGGAGTTGTCACGGATTGAGGGCGGTTCCTTTTCAAAGCGTGGCTCTCGCCTTAGCGCCGCGCACATGCGTGGTAAACATTTGTAAGAATTGAACCTATGCCTAGACGTGCCAGGAACGGTGTTGTAGAACGGTTCAAACATGCCTAGACGCAACAATTACGTTGACTCGTGGTGTTTGAAATCCCAGGAACGGTGTCCTGGCACGATTCAGAATCGTCAAAACGCGACAGTAACGGTGGTTCGCGGCGTCTTACTCCCAGGAATGGTGTTCTGGCGCCGTTCAGAAATTTTCAAACGGGTGTCCTCCAACGAAGCACTTCCTTGAACATGAATGTTTGCAGGAGCCTATGAGGGGGAGCTTGACGGGAGGGTTTATTGGAATATTATTGGTGAGTCTTGGGTTTACACTGGTCCTCCTCCTCCTCCTCCTCATCCTCGTTCCTCTTTCTCACCTGTTTCTCATCCTCCTCCTCCTACTCCTCTTCTCCTCCTCCTTCCTCTCCGCCTCCTTCCCCTCCTCTCCTCTCTTCTTTCTCATTATTCTTCTTCCTCCTTCCTATTCCTCTTCCTCGTCCTCCTCCCTCTTCCAATTCCTCTTCCTCTTCGCCCTTCCTCTTCCTCCTTCCTCCTCCTCCCGGGTTCCCCTCCTCCTCCTTCCTCCTCCTTCCTCTTCCTCTTCTTCACGCTCGCCCGCCCTCGCTGCTTGGCCCCCGCTTCCACGGGCCGGGCGGATGCCGAGATGCCGAGCCCCCGCAAACGCCACCAAACTTCGAACCTCGAACCCTCGATCCCTAACAGCGAATTCCTTCGAACCCTCGATCCCTCGATCCCTTCGAACTCTCGAACCTTCACGTTTCCCCAACAGCGTTTCGCTAAGAGGTCCTGATAGAGTTGGGAGACGTGACTGCAGGAGAGCCCCCCAGACACCACCAAGCTCGTGAACGTTTTCTTTTTCGGCGTTTCGACATTGGGCGGGAAAGGGGAGGGGGGGAGGGGGGGTCTGCCTCCCGACCTCTGCTTAGTGCGTCTGTTTGCAACGGTGCGCCTCATGGGGGAGGCTCCACCTGCTCGAAGCAGGCGCCCAAAAACAGCCAAGATCTACTCCATAAGGGAAAGGGGGGGGGGACGGGGGGGGGATGCGAGGGCCCGCGCCGATCGGCAAAACAATGAACAACCACAAACAACTCACCTTCGATACTCGAACCCACGATCCTGCACTTTTTCCCAACAGCCTTTCGCCAAGAGGGTTCCTATGGAGATGGGAGCAGTTCCCAAGGCCGCGCTAACGGCG